GGGAAAGAGAACGTGAGCCAACAGAAAGAATTTGGTAAATGCTCATCCATAAATAGGAACAAGCTTCTTGTGAACCACATAGATCCATTACATTTACCGTCGCCTTTGTCGAGTCGAGCACTGAGCGTTCGCTGTCCGAAAATAACACGAGAGGAGGAAAATGCCACATGCATCATCAGCGAGTGGTCCTATTTCTACAAGTTACAGACAAGACAAGACAAGACAGAAAAAGAAGAAGCTTCTGACCATCTGGTTCTGCACAACTCTCATTCCCAAACAAGGGAAATCCCATACAATGATAGTCCTTCAAATTTCCTGTGGAACTCTTGTGTTTCATCACAGAACTTCACAAGAATCGTAAAAAGCATGTTTGGGGATGGAAAGGAAAGTATCAAAGTAAAACTTGTTTTGTAGAAAGAAAGGATCATTACCCTTTTCCAGATGCCAAATGTTAGGCCTTCTTCTTTGTCTTTCTTGCTCTTTCATTACCTGATTGAAAATTTTCTCCACTTTGCTTTTGCCTTCTGCCTAAGATCGTCATAAATCCAAAACTGAATACATGGATCTGTAGGATAGGAAGATTGAAACACATAATATTTGAATCACGAAACCAAGCATAGTTGATAGAATAGGACTCGGTGCCATCACCTGTAAGATGTACCATATTTGATTAAGACACCGAAAATCAGCTTCCTCGTTGTGATTCTTGAATCTGCATTAATTGTGTAAAAAACAATCCTTTGAACTGAAGAAGGATCCACACGAATGTCTATTTGTTCCCAGCTTCACCAGCCTTAAGTCCAGTTCTGGAGCTACACAAGCAAGACACTGCAGGTTATTATTACATAAGGGAAGTGTAGGAGCAGTTCGAGCGGAGAAAAGAAGAAGAGAATGATGAGGGAGAATGCTGATCAACCTCAAAGTGCATATGCAGAAAGAAGCAAAGTAACATATCAGAATTTATCGTCAGGACTGAACCCCCTAAGCAGCATTTCGTCATGAAACCGAAATGCCTCACTCAAGTTGTCTTGAGAGACATGCCCATTTATCAATGATGTGTATGTTGACCTGTCAGGATCCACACCTTTGTCGATCATCTTCCTTAGTACAAGCTCAGCTTCTTTCATCCGACCTTGTCTGCAAAAGCCATGTAAGATCGAGTTGAACGTAATAACATCTGGTAATAGTCCATGGTTCTCCATCTTGTTGAACAAACCAAAAGCTTTGTCCATGTCCTCTTCTCTAACAAAGCCATTTATGAGGGTGTTGTAAGTGATTCTATCGGGAACCAAGCTTTTGGAAACCATCTTGTTCACGAATTCTTCCCCTTTCGTTGCATTACCCGAACGACAATAACCCTTAATTATGGAATTACAAATCACAAGTGTCGGCTTTATGCTTTTGCCAACCATTTCATCCCATACTTGCAATGCCTCAGAAACACGGCCATTACTGCAGAATCCATTAACCAGAATGCCATAGGTAATATGATTTGGAAGTATTTTTTTAGAAACCATATCAGTCCATAAATTCTTCATCATGTCAATGTCACCTGCTTTACCAAATCCGTCTAACAATGTGTTGTATGTCACAACATCGGGTCTAATTCTTCTCTGCGTCATCATCTTGAAAAGGTCCATCGCTTTGTGCATATTACCAAGCTTACTGTGGCCATTAATCAGTATGGTGAAAGTGTAAAAATCTGGCAATAAACCCCGTTGAACCATTTCATTGAACAATTTATCTGCCTCGTCCAACGTTTTATCTAGGCATAAGCCATTCAAAATAGTATTGTAAGTGACAACATCCACAACGCAACCCTCCTGAACCATTTTGTTTCTCAAATTCATAGCTTCTGACATGATACCTTTTCTGCAGCATCCATCGATAAGGATAGTGTAGATCACATTGTCTGGAACAAGACCGACATTCTTCATATTGTCGAAATAAGCCAACGCCTTACCAAGATTTCCGTTTCGAGCAAAAAGGCCCATTATTGAGCTAAAGCTAATCAAATCTGGAGCAACACTCCTTGAGATCATCTCACCGAAAATCTTTTCTGCCTCAGTTGCATCGTTGTTTCTGCAAACCTCAACCAGCAATGAGTTGTAAGTAGTAGTATCGGGATTCAACCCAGCCTTCAACATCTCACTGAAAATTTCCTTGGCTCTCTCATATTTTCCCTTCTTACAGAATCCATTTATCACAGAATTATAAGTGTAAAGACCCGGTTTCAACCCCTTGCTCGACATTGAATCTATCAACTCGAATGCCTCTTCCATTAGCCCTTCACAACAGTATGAGTTGATTAACGTATTATATGTTACAATATCCGGATAGACCCCCTTCCCTTCCGCTTCTGATAAAAACGGTCTCACCCTATCCATTTTACGATCTTTGCACAACGCATTAACCATCATATTAAGGGTATAGACATTGATGCCAATGCCACTCCGATGAATTTCCTGATAAACTTCCCATGCCAACTCTATCCATCCGATCCTCACTAATCCCCCGATAAGACTGTTACAGGCATTGATAGAAATCTGAAAGCCTTTGCTTCGAAGAACCCTGAAAGCTTCATATCCTTCTCTTAGTTTTCTAGCCTGGACATAAGTTCTAATCAACAAATCGAAAACTGAATCATTCGAACCACAGTTACTATATGTGGAGACTAAGGAATCCACGATCTCCACCCTGGAAACGCCACTTCTCCTAATCATCCTAAGAATACAAGCCTGCGCATCCGACAATCTGCCACTCCTCACCAGAACATGAATCATGGCGCTTAGAGACAAAGAAGTATGCTTGAAGTTCGGACAATTGGAGCGGACACAATCCAAAAACCTCTGACCCAGATTTAAATCATTCCGACAACGGTACAAAACCTCTACAACAGCTAAAGGGCTCAATTGAAGCAGATGATTTCGCAAAGAACCCACGTTACCTTGCTTCAAACTGAACCATATCTTCTCCACCAGGAAAGAATCCAATCCGGAATCCGACGGTTCCTGGATGGACGCTGATAGCGATGTCAGGGTTTTGAGAGAATTAAGGCGAGAGCATGAGTCATATTTGAGGGAGAACAGGGAGACCGAGGAAACGGGTTTTGCGGAAGATAGCCGGCGAACCGCCATTTTCATCGGCAGTTATCAACTGCCTCTTCCGCAAAATCAAGCTTGGGGGTTTAGCGAATTAGGGTTCTAACATGTGTACATAAAAGCAAATTTCCAAAAACATTGGACAAAATAGAGTAATTATAAAAACATGGGGTCTTCATATGAAGCATCCATAAAATATGGGGTAAAATATATACTTTACCGCTAATTATGGGTTGATTGTGTCAATCTAAATTCCTATAAGTCTATAGTTCAACTTCCTCACATACGTCTCATTACCCAATATCTGTTTACTGGTAAATTGGCGTATTCTGCTCTTCCCGGTCCTCTTTTTCGTTTTGTCCATTAGGGTTTCTCCGTAATCAATCTTTTACCAAGCAATTCCTTTTTTCCCCTTGCATCGAATATGCTTCAAATTCGGCTGAGGAGGGATACGACGGCGGAGATCGGCGGTGGAGCGAGGCCCTCGCCGGCGGAGACGGTGACTGTGGCATGTCCCGACCACCTCGTCCTCGCCGATCTTCCTGTCGCCAAAGGGATTGGTTCCGTGACGCCCACTACTGTAATCAAGCTTGTCGGTCGCCGTTCTCGCCGTCAGTTAGGGGAACGAGTTCACTTCTGCGTCCGTTGCGATTTTCCCATCGCTATCTATGGTCGCCTGGTAACTTCCCTCATTGTGGCTTGCCATTATGTTGTATTTGATTAATTGAGGGTGGATTCCTTTTTTTTTTTTACTGCGAATTGATTTCTTTTTGTTGTTGTTGCAGAGTCCTTGTGAACATGCCTTTTGCCTCGAATGTGCTCGTAGTGATTCGATTTGCTATCTGTAAGGACTTAACTGATCTAACCATGTTTTGAATCATTTAGTTTACTCGTATTGTAGTGCATGTGTAAACCCTAGTTTTCATGGTGATACGATCTGCTATTTCCTAAATCCTAAGTATGATTGAAGTGATGTCGGTAGGAATCACTATCAGTGCAAACCTTAGGTTTTAGGAAGAACCACTGAAGTATGACCAATGGCGAGTGTCTTAAGAAGCAGGTTTTTGACAATGGTTTGAAACATGGTGGTGGCAATTCTTGATGGTAGTATCAGTGAAGTGTCTTTAAGAACTGGATCTTACCAACAATGGCTTGAAGTAAGATCGGCATAATCTTGGATGATGTGGTTTGCGTTCCATAGGCTATGGGAATGGTACTGGACTTTAGATTTGCCTTCTCCTTTGCCAGGGTGAATGTGTGATAATGGAAGGTTTACATCTTTAAGTTTCAGTGGCTTGAACCATGTCAAGATTTATGGTGGCAGGATTATAAGCTGGATGATGCTTATTTCTTGTATTTTCTTCTGGACAGTTGTGACGAGCGTATTCAAAAGATTCAGACGATCAAGATGATGGAGGGAATATTCATCTGTGCGGCACCTCACTGTCTTAAATCTTTCCTGAAGAAGGCAGATTTTGAATCTCATATCCATGCATTTCACGGCGATCTTTTACAGCCCAACTCAGAGAAAGACGACGGTAACGAGTCAGACGTTCAAAGCACAAAGCAATCTTCAGCTTCCGAATCCACACTGCGAGGTCCTGTTAGGCCCCAGCAACTATCTCGGGAACAACCACCGCACAGGCAGCCAAAGGCACAACCAGGATTTGGGCAAGCCTCTAATTATCTGGCTGAATCTCCGGCTGATAACTCCCGCCCTCCAGGGTTTGAAACGGCTGGTTCCAAACCCGGTATTCTGCCCGGGAACCAGTTCCCTGAATACCCACCAATGCATTCTATGCAACCACTCAATCAGCCTATGCCTCCTATGAATCAAAACCAGGTTTTGCCCCAACCCTTTGGTTTTCCTCCATATCCAACTGACGGGGGCCAACCATTCTACGGTGGTCCCTACGAGATGCCGAGGACAGAAAGCGGATCAGACCAAGGATCTTTACTGGTTTATCCTCCAATAGCACCAATGGTGAACCCAAATTTCCCGGGACCCTATCCTCCTCAGACATGGAACCATGGAATGCCCGGTTTGCATTTCGACGCTACAGCAGGAGGTCAGGGCCAGGGGAGTCAAGGAGGCAGAAACAACCTTGAAGGCAAAGGCATACTGCCACCTCCTCCGCCGGCTCAGGTGGCACAACAGCTAAACCGGGGTCAGTTCTATCAGGGTGACACTGGAAGAACAACATGAGATGGGTTTGGAACTTGTGGTAATTTAGGAAATTCTTGTCTCCAAACTCATTTGTGATTGACGATCAATTGTTTGTTTGAAAGGAAGCAATTCTCGTTTTTTTAAGAGTGTTGTAGAGGCATCTTACGTGCTGAATTGAATTTGGGGAATCTACATGATGAACTCAAATGGATCCAATGTCAGATAACTTGGTGATAGGTCAGCATTCCGTTGTAGTCTAGATGGTTAGGATACTCGGCTCTCACCCGAGAGACCCGGGTTCGAGTCCCGGCAACGGAATTTCCTTTTTATTTGGGTCGATGGCATATTGGTAAAAAGCCTAAAAGAGCAAGGGCACTTTGTCCACGTGGTTTTCCACTCGTGTCCTTCTCGGATTCCGGAAAAGAGCCCCATAAAATTTGAGCTCCACGTTCCGGGCACGTCTGTGAATCCCACCAACATCATGAAACTATCGAATGTGTTCCGAATTCTTCTCTCTTATGATTCAGTTACGTACCCTTTACGGTTCCTCCTCCTTTTTGGTTAAAAAACCCCATCTGTTAAGCTGTTTTCTGCATCGTACAAAAACAGAATCATTTCATTTTATTTTTTTTTTGTAATTTTTATACGTCTCTCTTTATATATAATATATAACATATATATCCGGTCAAGTCTCCAGACAGAAGTGAGTAGTATATATACGTGACCTTGTCTCACTCTCTCTCTCCTCAACACCTCTCCTCCTCCCGAGCAATTTTCTCTCTCTAGGGTTTCGATTTCATTTTCACTGAACCAGTGGACCAACTGAAGCACACCTGCTTGCTGCTACTTCTTTTCGGGTTGATTTTCCCTTCGGATCCTTCATCTTCAACAGAGCTTCGGATTCCTTCCTCCACTCCAAGAATCTTCGGTCTCTTTCTTTCTCTCCGACCGGCTATGGGCGCTCCGTGATTCCTCGGATATTGCGTTCGGTGAGTTTCTGCGCTTCTTCCTGAAGCCTGATTGGTCTCGGGAGAGATTTGGAGGACTGCCGAATTGAGAAGTTCCGGTTGATGTTTCTTTGGTATTTCGGCGTCTAGGGTTTTGTTCTGTTTGATCGCTGAAGATGTCGGCGAAGGGATGCGGCTGATTTTGGATCTATTATCCCTGCTTTGTTTTTTTTTCCTGGGTTCGATTTACGGTTTCGTTCCCCGATGATCGGAGATTGAAGAAGGAATTAAAATTTGCCATATCGTTTTCTCGGTCTGTGTGCGTCATCATGCAACTGCTAAGTATTTGACTGTTGTTGTATCTTCAAGAATTCAGACTTGACAAAGGGATCTCTGTTTGTTGCACAGGAAGCAAGTGTTAGGGTAATGCTGTTCCTTGGACCTTGAATGGTTGTTACGATGGACCTAAATGCTTCACCCCAACCCGAAGAAGATGAGGAGCCCTTTGAAAGGCATATAGAAGAACATGCGGAAAGAGAAAAACGAACGGGGTCTGGGGTTGAGATATCAAGACGGGTACTACTGAATTTTACTTCCTTCAACATGGTTGCTGGCATCTAATGAATTATAGCCACCACAATTGCAGACTGTCCTCCCACATTACTGGCTATATTATAGTTAAGAGTACAATTCAGGAGTTTAATTCCTTGATATGGCATCTATGCCTCGTTTCTCCAATTGCCAAATATTGTTGTTTCAGGAACGTGAGGAAAGAAGGAAAAGAATAAGAATGGACAAGCCAATGTCTCTATCGCAGCCAGCTATGCATAATCAGTATTATCAGAATGGAAATACGAAAGCCTATGATAAAAACAGGATCCCTCAAGGTCATATCCCTTCACCGTATGGACGACATTTTTCGTTTCTGGCCATTTATTATTTAATTGCAATCATAAAATGCTTCCAAAAAGTGGTTATATCTTGAGAGCTTGTATGCATGATTTCTCTTCATGACAGTCTGTATAATACCGCAGGTTGGCTAGATTGCCCTGCTGCTGGTAATGAAATAGGGTGCATCATTCCTTCGAAGGTTCCCCTTAGTGACGTTTACAATGGTCAAATTCTCCCTGGTAGAAGGTACTCTTTTAAGCAAGTGATCCATAACCAGAGGATATATGGAAGAAAAGTAAGTTTTCGGATATTTTTAAAATTTCTTTTCTGGTTGAGATTTTGTACATGTTATCAGATTTGACTATTAGGCTTTTGTACATATTATATCTAACTGAAGTGATTGTTATGATTTACTCTCTTTCAGCTTGCTCTAGTAATCGATCTGACAAATACGAGTCGTTACTATCCTACATCAGACTTGAAGAGAGAAGGCATCAAGCATGTAAAGGTAAGTGGAAGACATACTTTTCTTTATTTTTGTATAATCTTCTGCTCAACGGTTGTAGATTGATGCATGTCAAAATTTTGATGTCTTGCAGATCGCATGCAAAGGTCGTGATTCTGTGCCAGATAATGTGTCTGTGAATACCTTCGTGAACGAGGTATCTGTCCTTTCTTAGTCGGAATATGTGAGGTTATAAATCGTCTCTGGCACCATGATTTGTTTCCTTCGCTTGATGATGAACCTGTTCATGGAAATTTGAAGTCTACTTTGTTATTGGTGCTTATGGAAGCACAACATTGTTATACTGTTTGTAGCTGATTCTTGAAAAATTGCATTCAGGTTAATCAGTTCGTCTCAAATCAAAAGCACTCAAAAAAATACATTCTCGTGCACTGTACACATGGGCACAATCGGACAGGGTATATGATAGTTCATTATCTTATGCGTTCCATGCCAATGACTGTTACACAGGTTAGTGCTCTTGTGCTTTTCTTGTTATTTGAGTAAATTTTCATATACAACATTCCAAGGTTCTTGGACCAAGAGATAGAACTCACTTTATTTGGGCTTTGGCAGGCATTAAAAATTTTTTCTGATGCCCGCCCTCCAGGGATCTATAAACCAGATTATATTGAAGCTTTGTACACATTTTATCACGAAATAAAGCCTGAGGGTATTATTTGCCCACCAACCCCTGAGTGGAAGGGGTCTGCAGAGCTTGATCTTAATGGTGAAGCTTTACCTGATGATGATGATGAGGATGGTCCTACTGCCCCTGTGCAAGTAAGCATGATTTGTGTTCATCATTTATCTGAAGTGATTGTTGTGACAATAAATTGTATGCAACATAAAAGTTCATGTACGTTACTTTATATAAAAGACAGCTTGAAACTTATTATTTTAGTAATCTCATTATTTTATGGAAACTTAAGTATTACCAAAAAGTTTATATGCCCTGGAGACAGCTTGAAAGTAGATTTGTGGAGCTTCCATCTCTTTATCCTCTTTTCTCTCCTTCTAGTCGATTTCGTTAGATTTTGGTCATGGGTGTTTATTAACGAGTTTAGCGAGTCTTTTCATAGCCAAAAAAAATCAGTTGTTGAATTTTCTGACAGGATTATTTTCCATCTCGCCTTTGTTTTTTTGTCTGGCTTTCTTATTTCAGGAAAACCATCAGGTGGTCGATGTCAGGATGACGAATGATGACATTTTGGGTGATGAAATACCTACTGATCAGGAGCAAGGTTTCCGGCAATTCTGTTACCGGATGCTCATGCTGAATATCGGGGTGGGAATGTTAAAACTTCAATCTCTTATTGCTATACTCTTGGTGTCATTATATCGTGACAAATCTCTATAAATTTATAAGAAGTATATGTAGTTTAAATACTGAGCTCTTTTGCTTTTCATAATAACTGTATTCATGTTCATGTTTGGTGCCTTTTTCTTCTTCCCTTTTTACCTTTTTGTTCTTGAAAATTCTCTTTTCATGATTTCATCTAGCTTTCTGGTATATATCTTGAACTTAAAGAGTGCTGTATCTTACTTGGGGAAAATGCCAGAGTAAATTATGTTGCCTTGAAGTAACAATGTGTTTTGGAAGACATATAGATTAGGTGTTGGAATGATACGAAAGTCTATTGCACAGCTAATGGTTCAGTTGCTCTGAGTTCTTCCTTTTTCTTATGCTTTTTTCCTCAATGGCGATGAACAAGGACACGTGTTTACTATTTCATTGTTTTCTCTATAAATCATTGCTGTGATTAGTGTGGGTTGAACATCAGCTTTCTGGTTTTAATTTTCTGTTATTCAGGGAAGAGGATGTCCGCAGTTCCCAGGTTCACACCCTGTATCTTTAAACAGGTCAGGTTTTCTGTTTTACTTTTGGTAATATTAGCTTACAATTAGGATGATTATTTATTATGTTGCTTTAACAATTGAATGGCTGAAATGTAAAGATAAATGTATGTCTGTCGTTACAGGCTTCTCTGAATGTGATTATGTTTCGTCTCACGTTTTAAGATTCAATTTTTGCTGCAACAGGGATAACTTGCAACTCTTAAGGCAGCGCTACTATTATGCCACATGGAAGGCAGATGGTACTCGATATATGATGCTAGTAACGATAGACGGGTGCTATTTGATAGATAGGAGCTTTAGATTTCGAAGGGTACAGATGCGGTTTCCCTGGAAGCCCCCAGCTGAAGTAAGTGATTTTTGGGGTTTGCTTCCTATTGTTATCTTGTGTCAAAATCCCCACTAAACTTATTGATATCTTAACATTCTTATTTATAATTTCCAGGGCGTATATGAGAAATTGCACCACTACACATTGCTCGATGGAGAGATGATTATAGATACCGTACCAGAAAACCAGAAGCAGGAGAGGAGGTATCTCATCTATGATATGGTAGCAATCAACGGCCAGTCTGTCGTAGAGGTTGGACTGTTATTGGTATTTTGTTTCTGTAATGGTTGCTTTAGCTATGCACTGGGCTGCCCATGGTTGCTTTAGCTAGTTTCGCTATACCTTAGTTTACATGAACCGATGTCAGGTTCCTTATCAACTAGATCTTAGTATATTATCGAGATACATTTAAGGACTTTAGCCGTCAATTTCCTCGAGTAGACCATTTCCAAGTTCATGTGGCATTAGGTTGAGTTTACTGTTAGGATTATCTTAGGATATGTTGTCTTTGTTTAGGATGTCTGATACGTGATGCATTAACTATTTGAGGATGGCCAAAAATGGATTGCTCTGCTCGTGTAGGACACTGCATGACTGTGCAGTTGGGATTGTGGACCGTGTCTTGTGGAGTTGCTTCCCATGGCTGAAAAATATGATTGTACAATGAAATTTTCTTGCATCATCAATATTGATCTCTTTGCATGATTTAATATAACGGGATGAGACGTTTGTCTTTCCATAATTGGGTTTCCAACATATCTGAGTGGTCACATTTGTTTTGGACGCTAATGATGAGAGCTCTATGGTTTGAATTGGACCAGAGACCTTTCTGTGAAAGATGGAAGATGCTGGAGAGAGAAGTGATAGAACCCCGTAATCATGAGAAGTTCCGAAGTCATTGCTACAGATATGAGCTGGAGCCTTTTAGGGTGTGTTATGAGAGCTACATTTTCTGGGATCGCTTGTCTATCCCTTTCTTCATTCCATCTCTCCTTGGTATAATTGTTGATGGAGCTTGGCTCCTTTTTTTTTTTTTTTTTTTTTTTTTTTTTTTGGTACGGAGAAAGCACTTTTGGTTGCTTTCTGCTGTTGAAAAGGTCTTGAAGGGTTTCACTGCTGTTGAAAAGGTCTTGAAGGGTTTCATTCCTTCGCTTTCACATGAAGCAGATGGCCTAATATTCCAGGTAACGTGAAACAGAGATTTCATATAGTAGATTTTAGGCCCGGAGAGAACTTTCTCCATGAATGTATGCGTAGGAAATTTTTGCAGTCACTCTTGTGTAAATACCGGCGTTGTGCTTTTCATCTGGAGAAAGGAGGAAGATCACTTTAATGAAAGCTATGATATGGGTGGGGTGATATCTGGTTTTCTATTGACAGGGATGGGATGACCCTTATGTTCCCCGTACTCATGAAGGTCTTTTGAAGTGGAAGTATCCCGAGATGAACTCGGTTGACTTTCTCTATGAGATGGATGAGGATGGCCGTAAAATGCTCTCTCTGTATGAAAGAGGGAAGCAAAAGGTCATGGAAGGGAATTCAGTTGTTTTTAAAGGTTGGTGTGGCTAAAACATCCATTTATACTCATTTTTTTTTGTTGTGTTAAGAGGTCACTTACAAATTCCTATTGTGTTCAAATGGTAGCGGATGATTCCGACCCTGCAAGTTACTCGGGGAAGATTATCGAGTGTTCTTGGGATCAGGACGAACAGGTCTGGGTTTGCATGCGAATCAGAACCGACAAATCAACTCCAAATGATATCAACACGTATAGGAAGGTCGGTGCTTCTATTTCATAATCACCCTTCTCTTTCTATACCGATTTTTAATTCTTCAGCTCCATGTCCCCGGTTTGCCTTACTTAGATATTACCGAGGGAAGAGAAACCTTTAACTTCATCAACTTCTAATATTCAACAACTTCCAAAATAAGATTATGCTTGCCAATTGCAAAGTGAGTATTTTCACCCACGAACCAAAAAGTTAACTTCTCCCTACGTATAGGCTTGTCACCATGCTTCAATGTATCGGGGGGCCAATGTGTCATCGTTTTCCTCCTTTTTTTTCTGGCTTAAGCTGTCGAGTAACTTTTTTTTGTGTGTGGGGGGGGGGGGTTTTGGATATTTTTTTATAAAAAAAAAAAACAGGTGATGAGGAGCATAAGGGACAACATCACAGAGGATGTGTTGCTGCAGGAGATTGTGGAGATCATTCGGCTACCAATGTACGCTGACCGAATTCAAACGGACAGTAAAGCTGCACGCCGCAGGTGATTAAACCATGCGATCTCTCTCCCCAAACTACTAATTGCCCTTCAACTCACATCCTGTTAATGTCTGGTATGTCGTACTCAAATCTGTAAAACCGGTTGGGGTTGGGGGTTGGGAGCAATAGAGAGAACCATTGCCTAATGCACATATACATATTTGAAAACGTTCAGATCAAATAGTAATATTTGTAGCAGCCAGTAGAGTGCTTTAGGATGATGTTGTTGTAATCTGTTTCACATTTTCCTTCAGAATTGGGTAGCCATTGTTTTTTCATGGAGTCCCTTGTGAACTTGTCATTGTTTCTTGATTTTATGGCAATTTGGGCATATGCATTTTGTTGTATCGATGAAGTTTTCTTCTTTTATTTTTTATTTTGAAATTGATTAAATGATAATTATACCAATCGGATGTGGGGAATAATATGGGAAAACGGAAATATAAAAAACAAACAGCAGAAAGAAAATTGTCTTTGATTATGTTCTGGAACATCCCTTTTTATCTTCCCCGCCTTTCGAATTCACTATATCTGCTTGATGCCACCTGTTATGTTGTAAGACTCTGAAATTAAGTCGGCTTATTAAAACATCTATTTTTACCGCAATTCACTAACTAAATACTCAAAATTTACACTATACAAGTTACTGAAAACAAAACGTAAACGTGCGTACACGTGCTGTGTCTCTTGTCAATCATTCTCCAATCGAGTGTAATAACGTTTTGTAATCGAATGTATAATAAAGCATACTGTGCAAATACTAAAACTCATCGTATGTATGTATATATACTTATTAGAGAAAAAGGAAAAGAAAACAAAAAAAAAACCCTAAATAAAGCAAAGCCTAGAAATTTGTCCTCATCTCGTGTGCTTTAGTAACGTGCTCCAAGGAAAAACAGTCCCCTCCTTTATCGGGATTCCTCCACTCTCTACACTGCATGTACATGTGGAGAATGTAATACGAATATGATTTTTTTTAAATATATATATAAATTCTCGCATCTTTTATTTTGATTTTTTTTTTATAATCTTTTATGGGCATTGTGTAGTCGGGGATTTGGACATGATGGATAAAGATGAATAGAGACATCCATACACACACACACACACATGTAACATCCTAAATAACTGCAATGAGATACATGGACACATCCATTATATATATATATACATGTAAACATTATAAGAGTGCGCTTACTCCACCGCCTACATGAATCAATTTCATCAAGTACATCCTCATGGTTGTAAACTCTACATTTATACATGTGTGTGTGTGTGTGTTATATTTACAAATATCGGCATATCCGCGTGCTCATACTGATCAAATGAAGTCGACCAATAAGAAATGAATCAAGAAAACTCTATACAAATGGTTAAAATGTGAATCGAAGGTCTTACCAAAGCATGTTGGGTCCAAAACAGAGGCGTATTATATTTTTGTTTTATCTTTCTTTTTTTTGAAAATGGGAAATCCAAAAAAGCAATTGATGTATTGTGAGTTGTCTAATGGTTGTGGGGGCAAAAGGACTCATAATATGATTGTCCTTCTCCGACCCATATTTTCTCTCTTGTAATGATGATGCTCTCTCTCTTTTTCCCCCTTTGCTGTTCATATATACACCGTCGTACCATGTTTTTGTGCAAAAATAAATTATTCGAATTAATAAATAAATTTAAATTTAAAAATCGATATGATCTATCTACACCATTATATATATATATATATATCTTTTCATCTGATGTATGAATCAAATAAGAGTAGACCGAAGGTCCAGGTAAACCTCCTGGTTAACGGAAAAAAAAAATGAATCAAATAAGAGTGGTATTATGCGGTATCCATGGGATGATTCCTTTATTATTGTCGAAATTACAAGCTTTATAATCTAAAAAAAATGTTTTTTTTTCCAAGGATAAAACCTTTTATATTCCCACGCGCGTCTCGCGCGTGGGATAATATGCTCCTCACTAATGAGTTTTTTTCCTTTTTCATTTTACTGACCTGATTTTATTTCTCCCGTAATATTATCTATTATTGTGCATTAGCCTGACTTTCATTTCTAATATCATTAACTCACAGTTACCATATGTTATATTTTATTTTAAAAAATATTTCGTATTAAATTTTGGAAAAAAATCCGCATGTTATCCAAACAACCGCACTGATAAATAAATATCCGCAATCAAAAAGTTTTTTGTAACAAAAAAAAATCACCCCGAGGGGACGAAATCAAGTCGGACGAATCAGAGGCCCATCCAATGGTACAACTGAATAAGCCCCTTTAAGAAATTAAGACAAATTATGAGTTTTCATTACCAAAGTTGCAAACAAACCCACTGCTATTTAAAAAAAATATATATATTGTCGAATTCTAACCGTTGATTAATTTGTACAATAATCAGTTGGCTGATTATTTTGAGGCGATAAGTCTATATATTTTTTGAATATATTATAATTCGATATTAAGATAATTTGCTGAATGATTACGACGTTAAAAAAAACGATGTAATAACTCTGCTGATGTATAAATAAATTATCAATCGGTTATTCTCCAATAATTGTGGCCATGGATGAAAAGCTTAGAACATGGAAATTATGGATAATAATGATAGAAGCATATTTGCAAGACACCATTATATAATCCGTGTCGTGGGATCCAAAGGTTTTCCCTTTCACTATCATTTCGATCCCCAATGATGCTCGTAATTCCATCATTCATTATTATCATTATTTCACCCTTCACTCAAATCGACGATGATAATATATTTTATACATTGCAATCATTCTTATATTTTTTTTAATTGGTTTTCCTTTTAACTATTTCGAGATTTATTTTTTTAACCTATATATATATATATGTGTGTGTATAATTAGCGTTGTGAAACCAAAAAATTAAATTAAGAATTGCTATAATCTATTCATTTTTACATATAAAAAAAACGTTCTCATGCTCGGTGCATGCATGGGATATCCGATGTTTGTTCATTGTATGTACTTTGAAACATGGGCATGAGAATATTGTGTTTACATTCCGATCAGTAGCTTATAAACATGGCTATGATATATATTCTTCAAGATTATCGATCGTCAATCGTATGTTAAATTTTCCAATATATATATATATATATATATATATATATATATATAGTATGTTAAGGGTGTATGTTGTCTATGAAAACGAAGTGTGTGTGTGTGTGTATATATATATGTGTATAGTATTTTAATGAGAATAAAAGAGATAAAAAAAAGTGGAAACAGAATAAATACAAAAAAAAAACCCCCACATTAATGGCATTGATTGCGTGAGGTTAATGGGATATAGAGCAATAATTATCCTCAATACGACCGTTAAATAAAATTCTCTCCAAAGCTAGTAATATAAATTAAATGAAATTATGAATACACATGTGGCGGTTCTTGTCCACACGTGCGAGAATATACTATATGTAAACAAAATATCTCAAGATTTGTGAAATTGAGCTCAATAAAAAATGCGTATTCTGATTATCTAACTCGGTACGGTTCCAAATTAATCAAATATTTTTATGTTGTTTATAATATTTTATTTTTTTTAGTAATTGAATTTCAATATCTTTCATCAAAAAAAAAAATCAATATCAACAAAAGCATATGGATATATACAAGGGATGAGACGATGGAAACGACATCGTATTGAGGCAGGAGGACGAGACAAGGAGAATGTGCGTACGTGGCGGAGTTTGTTCTCCCATGCGAGGGACAAATCAGAGGGGACGCAGAATAATTCCAAAATGAAAAAAAAAATAATAATAACGACACGTATTTACATGCATGCATCCGCAATATATATATATATATATATATATATATATATAATCGAAGAAAAGAAAACAAAGAAACAAAAAGAAAACCCAGACAAGTTTTTTTCAGAAAAAGAAAAAGTCGGAAAAGAATGAAAGTAAATCGATCATAAAGAAAAAAAGAAAAGAAAAGCATAAGATACGGCTGAAAACTGAAAGCATTCGTTCTCCATTTTGATAATTTGGGTAATTTTTTTTTTATCATTGTTTTACCCGAAAGTAGAAAAATAATTCATTTGTATATTTGCAATAACGAATACGATAAAAAGATTTAAAATATTGAACCGGTAGAGTTTGTGAAAATGGTGAATAAATCATATACTTAAATTCGGGAAAAAAAATAGCAAAAAAAAAAACGATAAAGATTTGAGAGAGAAAGCGAAAGGAGAGATGGCGTGAATTGCTTTTTCTGCTTTTTTGGCTCCAAGGGTGGAATCTTTGAAAATCCAAAGCATTCCTTCTTCTCAAGAAAAAAAATATATTATTTTTTATTTTTTATTTTTTATTTTACAAAGAAAATAATGATATGTACAGTGATGGGTTATGTATTGAGCGATAATACCTTTTAAATCACAAATAAGTATTTTAATGGAAGATGAACTCTTAACACATTCTGCATTGAATTTTTGAATAGTAAGATAGCTACTTAATTCTTATTGATGATTTGATTATAATCTCATGGTTTTGGACTCAATGATGTGTAAGAAGAAATAAATACCCTTATTTTGTATTTTGATGAAATTTGTAATTTTCAAAGAATCAAGATTCCAATTCCAACATGCGATCATATTTGTATTTATTATATAAATAGACATTCTTGTGTTTGGTACAGTTGAAGGAATTTTGTATTGATAAGTGATAAAACTCTAATTCTAGTTTACACAAGTGTTCTCCCTGCAAGTACAAAATAAACAAAAAAAAAATTATAATATTAAATAAAATCAGATGTTATAAGCAGTTTTTTGTTTGTTTGTCTGATTTAATTTACATTTGAACACAAACATATGCTTGTTCAAAAGCAGTGTGAACAATTTTTTATTTTATTTTTGTGCTAAATTGTCTTTGACAAAGCGGAAAAATATACTTTTTGACAATAACAAAGGATAAAAAATAAGACAAAATCCTAAGATGTGTGGTTGAAATCGTCATTCTTTCACTCTCCTTTCAGTTGATTTATGAATTTATAATATGTGAAATAATTTAATCAGTATTCCATTGTTAGATAATTTATCTATCAATCCTTCCTCACACGTTATATTAAACCAATGGTATATTTCAAAATCTTATTTTTTCAAAATAGAAATTAAGGCACTTTAGTTTTTTTGAAATATTTTTTCTATAATTTTTTATGTCTGTATTGGGTTTTTTTTTTTTGCTTTCCACTTCAATCTCCTTTCTCTTTCAATGTCCGTTGGAACCAGACGAAGTTTTCAGACATAACTACTCTTTCTCTCTGTAATGTTGCTGTTTGTTTCTCTCTCTATAAGCAAGCAGTGGTGATGATAATGCCATAACCAGAGTAGAAATCACTCGCCATTTCCAGTCATGAATCCCACATCGGACCCAGCCGCCGCGCTTGCTCCGCCGCCGCACCGTCCTTCCACCTCCTGCGACCGCCACCCTGATGAGCGCTTCACCGGGTTCTGTCCCTCCTGCCTCTGCGAGCGCCTCTCCGTCTTGGATCAGAGCAACAATGGCGCGGCGTCGTCTTCCTCCAAGAAACCGCCATCCATCTCCGCGGCGGCGCTCAAGGCCATCTTCAAGCCCTCCGGCGGCAGCGGCGTCGTTGCCTCCAACGGGAACGGTCGGGTCCGACCCGGGTTCTTCCCGGAGCTCCGGAGGACCAAATCGTACTCGGCGTCGAAGAACGAGGGGTTTTCCGGCGTGTTTGAGCCGCAGCGTAGATCCTGTGACGTTAGGCTTCGGAGCTCGCTGTGGAACTTGTTTAACCAGGACGAGCAAAGACACCCAACCACCAAGGAGGCCGGCGGCGAGATTGAGGTTGAGCCGAGGAAGTCTAGCGTGAGGGAGCCTGTCTTCGAGGCTAAGGAAGAAGGAGAAGCCGAAAACGAGAGCGAAACTGATCACGGAGGCGAAGACGAAGATGACGACAATGACGATGATTTCGAAATCGTGAACGATTCAAGCGAAGTAACAGGGGAGCGAGGTGAAGAAGAAATCGTTGAAGAAGACGAACAAGTGATAGAGGAAGAGGTAGAAGAAGAAAAGGTGAGTCAAGAGGAATTGAAGCCGATGAAGGACCACATAGATCACGATTCGCATGCGAAGAAATCATCGGCGAGAGGCAGCTTCTGGTCTGCAGCCTCTGTTTTTAGCAAAAAGCTGCAAAAATGGAGGCAGAAGCAGAAGATGAAGAAGCAGAGAAATGGTGGCGGCTCTGCCAGGCTTCCGGTTGAGAAACCGATAGGGAGACAGCTTCGCGATACTCAGTCCGAGATCGCTGATTACGGGTTCGGTCGGAGGTCATGCGACACCGAGCCAAGATTCTCTCTCGACGCCGGAAGATTCTCTCTCGACGCCGGAAGATTCTCCGTCGATATTGGTAGGATTTCGCTCGACGATCCTCGCTACTCGTTTGACGAGCCCAGAGCTTCATGGGACGGGCACGTGATCGGTAGGACGGCGGCGTTCCCGCCGGCAAGAGTACCTCCACCGCCGTCTATGCTATCTGTGGTGGAGGACGCGCCGGTGCACCACCACGTGGCGAGGTCCGACATGCAGATCCCGGTGGAAGAACCTCCGCCGGCAAATCCGGAGTCCGACCCGGTTGTACCGGGTGGGTCGGCCCAGACCCGGGACTTTTACACGGACTCTTCGTCGCGGCGGCGGAAGAGCCTCGACCGGTCGAGCTCGATCAGAAAAACCGCCGCGGCAGTGGCGGCGGAGATGGACGAGGTCAAACCCGTTTCAAACTCAAAGGTATCTCCGGCGATATCAGTGGAATCTTACGCAAGCTCAGTGAGGGACGACTGCTCCATGGATACGACGGCGGCCGGAATTTTCCAGCAGCCGATGAACGGCGAGAGAAAGGGCAATAATAACAATAACAAGAAGCCGAAGAGGGGGAGCAAATGGAGCATACTGGGATTCATATACAGGAAGAGTGTTAGCAAGTACGAGGAGGAAGAGGAAGACGACAGGTACAGCAGGTCGAACGGAACAGTGGAGAGGTCGCTGTCGGAATCATGGCCGGAGCTGAGGAACGGCGGAGGAGGGTTCGGAAATGCGAAGATGACGAGGAGCAACAGCAATGTGAGTTGGAGGAGCTCAGGGGGCGGATTAGGGTTTGGAGGGTCAGGAAGGAAGAGCAACGGAGGATGGTTGGAGAGGAATAGGAGTTCGAGGTATTTGCCAAAGGACGGGGAGAATGGGATGTTGAGATTTTACTTGACGCCGGTGAAGGGTGGCCGGAGATCGACAGCCGGAGGAGGAGGAGGAGGAGGCGGCGGGTGGGAGAAGACGGCGGCTAGGGCAAACAGTCACGGTCATTCCATAGCGAGGAGTGTTATGGGGCTGTACTGATGATGGATCGCTGGTTTTGTTGTTTCTTTCGCTCTTCTTTTTTTTTAATTTTTATTTTGGGTTTTGGGTTTAATGGTTGGGGTTAATTTCGGTGAATTGGTTTAATGTTCACATTCAAATGAAGGAATTGTTGGCCTTTTTCTCTTTGGGTAAACCCTAAACCACAACCAATGCACCAAATGTGAATAAAAACCCCCAGTCCTAATGGGAAATTCAAACTCGGAAGAAAGAAAATGTGATAATTATGATTTCGGAATGAACCATAATTATCATATTCATGTAAGAAATCCGCTAATAACGGTAGAATTGGCCGCGTTAATTGCATATATATTAGACTAATTTCGATTCACTAGAAACATATTAATGCGAATTCGATTTTTATTTTAAAGGGCTCAACGGACTAAATCCTACTTTGTATTGGACCATCTTAAAAAGCCCATTAAGCTATGCGAGGTTTTATTGGGCCTAACATATTGGAATTGGACGATATAAAAGCCCATTAACCCATCAGGCCGGTTTTGATCATAAAAATCGTTTGAGAGAAACACCACTATCCGAACAAACAGAGAAGTTCAAAAGATTTGACTTAAAACCCATAAAAACCCTAATCACCTTAACATAATCCCTGCGAGATACAGCAAATGAGATCAAACACGAGGCGAAGTTCCCGACGTCCCCACGTTTTACGAATCTCAACGCAAACTGCCCGCCGTTTTCTTATAAGTGTACCATTTGGAAACTTAGTGTGGAAACTTAGTGTGGCCAATAACCAAAAGAAGTGATCAAGATGACCTCTGTTCAGATTTTCATGAGGGATCCAACCCAACTTTCCTCCTGACATCGTCGCTGACGTCACCACCGTAACCAGTAGCGTGCTGAGGTAGCTCCCTAGTGACACGGTCGTCATCAACAGCGCCGAACACATACTCCTCATGGCGTCAGGAGCCTCATGGTAGAAAAACTCGAGTTGTCCTATGTACGTGAACACTTTCGCACAACCCACAAGAAAATATTGAGGAATTTTTCATAATATAGTTATCGGTACGGTTTTTTGATCGTATAGGTTGTGTGTTCTCATGTAGTTTAGGCGTGCGACTTCGAGGATGCCCGCCAAGACCATGGAGAGGATGGAGCAGACAAGTCCAATACCCATGCGTTGGAGCTGGGTGAACCCACGTTCATGTCCAGTGAATTTGCGTGCGAAAGGGACGAGGGTTTGGTCGTAGATAGGTGCCAAGATGACAACACTAAGGGTGTCGAAGAGGGAGAGTGAGGCTGAGGGGATGATGAAGTGAGGTCCCATGTGTTGATCCATGGTGTTTCCTTGAAGGACGAATAATGTGCCATTTGGTTGTACACTACAGAAAAGACGATTCCAAATACCCAAACAGGTAAAAGGCGAATCAATGCTTTGAGCTCCTCAACTTGTGTGACTGTGCACAATCTCCAAGGGTTCGGAGCAACCTTGTCGCTCTCACTATACACTGCAGCCTTGTCGAAGAATCTGTAAAGGATACGAAACAAGTATCTTGTTCAAGTTATGTTGGATTTTTTATAACATGTATCTACACTTACGTGAGTTTGCTGGTATGCTCAAGTTTGCGGCTTCCTTTGATAACGCTATCTGAATCTTCAATCTCGTAAAGAAGAGACTCATCCTCAGGTATTTTTACGTTCGATTTCTTTAATGATACAACTATGACTTGGAGAATCCTCGTGATAGGACTGCCTCCGGGCTTTTGAAGTCTATAACACTTGCTACCTGCGAAGAAAAACATGACCGCGATAGCCATTGCGACGGCCGGGATTCCGAACCCCCAACCCCAACCGATGTTCATCTGGATCCAAACAAGAACAGATGAGGAAATCACAGCGCCAATACTTGTCAAAAAATAAAACCAGTTGAAGAAAGAATTCTTCATCTTCTTTTCGTTCTCATCCGACTCATCAAATTGATCTGCACCAAACGAGGAAACACATGGTTTGATGCCCCCTGTCCCTATTGCGACCATATAGAGGGCTATGAAGAAGATATGAATCTGTCCATTAGTCGGGCTGCACACATCTCCGTTGCATGGGGGTTTGAGCTGCGGAACAGAAGCTGATAATGTCAAAAGCATCATTCCCTACGAGCAAATGGAGCATACTGGGATTCATATACAGGAAGAGTGTTAGCAAGTACGAGGAGGAAGAGGAAGACGACAGGTACAGCAGGTCGAACGGAACAGTGGAGAGGTCGCTGTCGGAATCATGGCCGGAGCTGAGGAACGGCGGAGGAGGGTTCGGAAATGCGAAGATGACGAGGAGCAACAGCAATGTGAGTTGGAGGAGCTCAGGGGGCGGATTAGGGTTTGGAGGGTCAGGAAGGAAGAGCAACGGAGGATGGTTGGAGAGGAATAGGAGTTCGAGGTATTTGCCAAAGGACGGGGAGAATGGGATGTTGAGATTTTACTTGACGCCGGTGAAGGGTGGCCGGAGATCGACAGCCGGAGGCGGAGGAGGAGGAGGCGGCGGGG